ATGACAGGATTGTCATTTTTGGCTGAACTAATCCTTGAAGTATTTCCATTCATTTCCTGCATCTGTGTTTAAATTCTGTGGCAATTTCCTCCCGTCTTCTTCCTCAGGAGCCCTTTCTCACATAACCACAATGTGTGGCTAATTCTGAGGAATCGCAAGTATTATAGTGCCTCAATAACTTGACATGCCCCTGCAGTTTTACCTCTCCATCTTCTCTTGTAGGAGGAAGAGCCACATGTTAGGGAACCAGGGTTAAGAGGCAAGCTACTGAACATAATGACTGAGCACTTGAAAGGATTTGAATGGCATGAAAGAGGCACAGATCCATCCTTTTGTAAACACAGATTCTCACGAGGACTAGACTTATGGAGAGATTAGCCCCTTCAATAAACAAGTGGATGTATCACGCTGCAAACCCGGTGCAGCTGGGCATTACTGCGCCATTGTCCCGGTAATCTGGGACGCTTGCCATTTAATCTGAATGCTATTAAAATCTCTCTTTTCATGTGGATTACTAAGAGAGATAATAGAGCTAGCAGGTCGTCCTGACCTTCACTTTAACTGCGAATCCCCCAGCGCTGCACCAAGTGTCTTCAAGTCTTCACATTTTCAGAAGCCCTAAGATCCCATGAAATCGAAATTGGAGTTGGTGGCTTTTATTCCATGTCTGTTAGCTTTGAGGTCATCTATAGTGTGCTGCAAAAATGGACAAAATTCACATTATGCATATTTAAAATTTATAGCCTGTCTTTTCTGGGAAACAGTCTAAAAATACTGATTGATTACTTCGCATTGATTTAATTTGTCATTTTAGATATGAGCCTAACCCTCCACTTGACACCAGCCACTTTCTACAAGCAACAGCAAATAGAAAAGTGACCTAGCTAAAGTTATTGGCTACTTAAAAAAAAAGAGCGAGCCCTTCAATATGTCCTGTCCCAATGTCTTGCTACAATATGGGAAGGCAGGAAAAAACAAAGTATGTCATTGGGTCTGTAGCCTACGTATGAGAAATAAATGTATAATATGCTCACATTTTACGAAGACTCTAGCCAATTGGCATGTAAAAAGAAGGTCGCAAAATCAAATAATTACCCTGTTGAAAAAAACAACATATGCTGGTTAGGTATATTTTGAAGTATGGCTGCTGGTTTGAGCTGGTCCTAAGCAACTAGCTCCAGCTCAGGACCAGCTTAAACCAGCTCATGAGCAGCTTAAACCAGCAGCCATGCTTCAAAACATACCTAACCAGCAGATGCTGTTTTTTTTCAAGAGTATGAACAGAAAAAAAAAATGTCCAAACAAGCAAGCAGTACAGTATAAATTAATCTGTTTGAACTAAACCACAAAACGTCAGTTTTATTTGAGCAATATCACACAACACAAGCAAGACTTCTGTTGCTCAGACGCAGGTAATCACAGCTGTGCTAATATTCAGGCCGATGTGAGTGTGATATTGCTGTATACAATAACGAGAAGTCAGTATTGAATAACTTGCATGATATTATACACTCTATTGTCAGTTTGTGTATTTTTTGCTCCCCGGTTCCAATGAAAATAGTTCTAAACGATGTCTAAGCAGAATCATCACGGAGCACAACAGTAGTTACAATGCGTTACAATGTAAGTTTTTTTTTATCAGATTCAAAATCATTCTGATTGTACACTTCTAATAAGGCTTCTGTTTGTAGCTTGTCAAAGTCTGTCAAATGTATATTAGCCTATGTGCAGTGTGTGGCCTATCGTGTTGCCAACATTGGATTCACATTCAGTAGCAGACAAATAAATACCTAAGCAGTATTTAATCAAAAGTAAAGTTTTCTGTCATTCCCATGTTATTCTTTTTTGTTGTGGTTGTAATATCTCACCTTATTGGTTGACATGGTTCCTCTTGGCTTTTGAAAGCATTTAGATTGTCAACAAATGCACGTGTACAGCCATCCACCGAATGATGAGAGTATATTTACGACAGTGAATTTCACTCACATAACTGTAGGGGGCTCCAAAGTTGCAAAAAAAAAAAAACAATCCAGAAGAACTGTGGCAAAGTCTCCAAGATGCTTCAAGTACGGAGCCCCACACATGGCATGTAGGAAAAAAATAGTAGGCTAAATCGTGCGCACGATTTACTATTTCGTTTCCTTGATTTATAAATTGTGCGCATGATTTACTAATTCATTCCCTCGATTTGCTAAATCGTGCACATGATTTATAAATCGAGAGAACGAATTAGTAAATTGTGCACACGATTTAGAAAATCGAGGGAACAAATTAGTAATCGTGTGCACGTTTTAGTACATCGAGGGAACGAATTAGTAAATCGTGCGCACAATTTATTTGACTTGCATGTCATGTGCGGGGCTCCGTATTAAGTCTGTCTGAGTTTGTTCTGTTTCTTCATGTCATTCCAGACAGACTGATGATGATCAGATCAGCTCTCTGTGTGGAGCACTCAGACAAAAATCTCACTGGATTATTACAATTAATGGCAAAATGAATGTTTGGAAATGTAAACTGATATTTATACAGACACACTACAGCAAAAGATAGAAATAACTGACTTAAAACAGTTTTTAAGCTAGTGAAAATACTAGTGTTCTAATAATTTTGCCCACCACTGTAGCTAGTTCTATGTCCTGAATGAATCAGTGTTGCGAAGATTCAACTGAACGGTTCACTGATGAATGTAATCGCTTGTCGCCACCTACTGGCATAATGTTGTAACCTGCAGAAAGACTCACTGAAAAATCCCCACCACTAAAGCACAGACTGACAGTCTGTCTGGAATGAACAAACACAACAGTGTGATATAAACGGTGAAATGACCCAGTGCTTTTGGACTGTATAGCTGAATTCAGAATAGCATACCATGGTATTTTTCACTATTTCTGCCATTTCTGTAAATGCAGAAATAGTAAGAATATGGAAGGCTGTTCTGACCAGATTTGAGAAATGGTAGGCTACTAACTGTCGTGTAATGTACTATGAGATCTGAAACTTAATGCATCCATATCAATATAATATAAAGTGCAAAACCACTGGGGCAAGTAAGAGTGAGCAAAAACTTACTGAGTGCACCCTTAAGGGAAAAAGGATCAGGATCCAGTTATTCAAAGACAACAGGTCACACAGGTTTTGTGGTCTACACAGCGGGAAAAACATATCAAAGTTCAACAAAAATATCAGAGTTCACTGACTAATTGGAAATAAAACAGCCCTATGGAACAATCTGCCTGTTGTGGGTCAAGAACACGGCTGTAGTAAGAGTTTTCCTTTGTGTCCTGATTAGTGAAGGAGAAATCATCCTCATCTTAACCAAAATTATCAACTTTATCCTGGCACTAACCCCCTCAATGCCTGCGAGAGACATTCAGACTCACAGCAAATTGCTGTATACCTCCATCTAGGGGACAAAACTCTTAAATACACCTTCTCTTCTCACTCACACACACACACACACACACACACAGTCTGGTCAGCTATCCTTGTGGGGACTCTCCATAGGTGTAATGGTTTTTCTACTGTACAGACTGTATATTCTATTGTCCTACACCAACCCTACCCCTAAACCTACCCCTCACAGGAAACTTTCTGCATTTTTAGATTTTCAAAAAACTTCATTCTGTATGATTTATAAGCTTTTGTACCCGTGGGGACCACAATTTAGGTCCCCACCATGACACGAGTCCCCATGAGTCTGTGTGTATTAAGGTTTAAGTCCCCACCAGGATATATAAACCAGTACACACACACACACACACACACTCTTAACAACAAACCTTCTTCATTAGCATCTAATCTACTGTATGGATCCATGAAGAACATCCATAGAACCTTTCCATTAAACAAAGCATTCTTTGCAGTGGAAAAATCTTCTTCAGATTAATAAAATGTTCTTCACACTAAGAAAAAATGGTTCTATTAAGAAACAAGAAACACTTCAAAAACACCATTTTGCAACTTTTTTTTTTTTTTTTTAAAGATTAAAGCTGTCTGTGTGCCTTAAGGGCTAAAAAGCTATCTGTTAGCATTCACATTCATCTAAACGGCAGTTGTAGTACGCAAAAACATTCCAGAGATACCCAAATACATATAATGGGAAATAAGAAAAACACAACTCATGACATCATTTTGCTATCATTGGGCTGATTTCAGGCCAGAATTGAGCCTCCATTAATATAATAAAAAATATAAATCCATGAATCTAATACAATCCGTATATAATAATATAATCCATTTATAATAATCCATAAATATATGTTGATATTCGTCTATCTGTACGTTCTAGTTTATACCCTTCTTCTTTTTTATTTTTTTGTAACGGAGTGGTCATAAAAAAGCCTTTCACTGCATGTCATACTATGTATGGTATGGTTATGTATGTGACAAATACAATTTTAATTTGAAAATTATACAATTATTATATTACTGGATATAGGAACAAATATACAGTATACACATAATTACTGTTCATAATTGGTGATCTGAAATCTGACATTGAAATGTCAGATTACTTAATGAAAAATAGAGAAATATTATGGAAAAAAAAGAAAAACAGCATTGATTCCAGATTTTCAAATAGTTGTATCTCGGCCAAATATGGTCCTATCCTAACAAACCATACATCAATGGAAAGCATATTTATTTATAAATTGACCCTTATGACTGGTTTTGTGGTCCAGGGACACATTTACTCTTTAAGGAAGTAAACCAGCATTATCTCTGAATATAAAACTGGGATATAGAACTGGGAAAGTCATTTTAATATAGGAAAAAAAAATTCACGCATAACACCTTTGACCAAAAACTGATAATATGTCCCTGGGTTTTGCTGATCTGGATACTGGTTCCAGGTGCATATGAACATTGCTGTACGTTTGACAAATTTACAAGAAAAAAAAAAAAAAGACCTTATTGAAAAAGCTTACAAAAAACAACAAAAAAAAAAATCACAAAAAACCCAACTGTGTATTTCATTACAAGTTTAATTCAACATTCACTGCAAGTTAATCATCACTCTCTAATTCATATTTAACAAAACATTATTAGAAAATGCACCGTATAACAACCAGTCTTCTGATTCGAGGTGCTAACATGACACTTCCTGCACAAGCTCAGTTACATCGTTCACTGGGGATTCCTACCTTATACAACAGTATGTGGTGAACAGGGGCGAGACAGAACGAGGAGGAATGTTCATTAACACTGATTAGCTTTTCCTTGGGAATATCTATAGACCTCGGGCTCTCCGAGTAAGACACTGAGTGTTACATCTGAAAAATTAAAAACAAAAAAGGGTACACATGAAACAATACAGTAGTAATGGGTGTAATATATTTGCATTTAATATTTTAGTAAAAGACGGTTATGACGGAATTCTACGTCAGTATGAAGTGCTTTGCACCAGAGGGTCACCTGCATCACCTGCGACGATTGCATTTGGATTTCAACTTTACAAGGTAAAACAGGTAGAGAGCGTTTAACTATCATAGTTACTACAATAGCTTTACTGCCTGACCGTTCACATTTAACTCTTCCATGCAGTCATGCAAAAAATTCCCTCCGATGAGTTGCAGCTTGTAAACCAGAGCCACGCCGATGAGCTTTGCAAAGCAACACCTAAAGTACAAAATACCAGCCCATCCCACTCGAAGCTCCGTCCTTGAAATCCGCAGGTGAGCTCTCTGAGGTCCGTTAGGAAGCAGTTCATTTGTTGCCGCCACCAGAGCACAGGAAGTTGGCTCACCGCTTCCTGTGTTAGAGAGTCTAGAGAGTCCTCGCCTGATTGGGCACATTTCAGCTCCTCCATTACAATTTCTCTCCGCTCTCACACTTCACAACAGACATGCAATACGCAGACCGAATTAATTCTCAGGTTAGGTTGTACATTTATATAGATTTATACATATTTATATCATTCGTATATTTTCAGGAATGTTAATCTGTGTGATTTTGTCCGACGATACAAAATTACGTTTCATATAAGCAACATCATAAAAGCAGTCTCTTTCTTTAAAAAAACATCCCTTAATAAAAATAAGTTCTATTTGTGTTTTGTTTATTTTACAATATATTTTCTTTTCCTCTCCGTCTTCTTCTTCAGGTTTGGGACGAGGGGGGAAGGTTGGCTAATATTACAATGGGCACTTTGTGCAGCCGCACTCCACGGTGGTCTCCATCTCCTCGGAAAAGGAGGATCCGTCGGAGCACCTGAAGCTGACCTTCCGTCTCCGGCTCTTGGTGGGGGCGCAGCACAGGCCCGAGCGGCAGGCGCTTGGACACCGAGCCATTTTACTGGTGGAGGTGCAGTTTTTATGACCCATATTACGCTTGAGCAGCTCACGGACCATCTCTCCTTGGCACGTCGGCTCTGCGTGGAGGAGGGGATGGAGGACAGGCCATCAGATAAAGCATTTATATAATAAGAGATTAATAAACATAAGGACCTTCAGGTCAGATATTGACTTGTGTTGCTTCACTCTTCTGGATTCTGTACAGTAAGCTAAAGATTACACCAGACAGCATTTTTAGTGCATTTATAACTGCTCTAATGCAACACATTTTTGGGTGGAAACATCGTTTTGTATGAGGGAATTTTATTCCTCAGGATTTGATTGCGTGAAGCAGTCCCATTCATTTGTGATACAATGAAATTGATTTTTAATAACAGATTTGCTATGAGCTCTGAGGTTTTTTAATCAAAGGTACACTAATGTCAAAATGTTGTTTTTCACAGAAGTCTCTTATGCTCACCAAAATGTAGTAAATATTAATAATGTAATAATATTGTGATAATCTTGTAATATTGTGAAATATTACAATTTAAAATATCTGTTTTCTGTTTTAATAGATGTTCAAATGTAATTTATTCCTGTGAAGCAAAGCTGAATTTTCAGCATCATTACTCCAGTCTTGTGTCACGTGATCCTTCAGAAATCATTCTAATACTCTAATATGCAATATATTTGCTGCTCAAGAAACATTTCTTCTTATTATCATTAATTATGTTGAAAACAGTTGTGCTGCTAAGTGTTTTTTTGTGATGCATTTATTTTTTTAAGAATAGAACATTTTTAGGAATAAAAACAGATTTTTTTGTAACAAATGTAAAAGTCTGCATTCTTACTAAATAAAAGTACAAATATATATATATATATTTTTAAAATACTGATTTTGAACTGTATTGCATATGCAATGGTTATGTATTTTTGAATAAATATAAAACATTGTGTTTTTACTTTATGAAATCTCATGGAGATCTTATGAATAAATTGAAAGACTGACTGGTTATTACTGTTGTGCTCTATTGAAATGAGATATTATTGCCAGTATCAAAATATTATTGAGATATTATTGAGATATCATTGTATAATTCTTCCTCACCCAATGAAGTCATTTAAAATGCAGAGTAAGTTATTAGATTTTAATAAAAGATTATCAAAACAGCAATAAAGTATTTGAATGCGGATCTGCAACGTATTAAATTACAATTAGTAAATGGATATACATACCTAAAACAATATAACAAAAGAATGGGTGATAGAGCAAGGGGTAAAATCAACCTCACTACAAAATTTAGAAAAATACGCACTGATGAATTGTGCACAATAAGACCAGAAACATTTATTATGAAAATTAAGAGTTTTTTTAAATCTTGTTTTTATGTTCCATTCTATATGTGACCCTGGAGCACATTAGATTTTAATAAAAGATTATCAAAACAGCAATAAAGTATTTGAATGCGGATCTGCAACGTATTAAATTACAATTAGTAAATGGATATACATACCTAAAACAATATAACAAAAGAATGGGTGATAGAGCAAGGGGTAAAATCAACCTCACTACAAAATTTAGAAAAATACGCACTGATGAATTGTGCACAATAAGACCAGAAACATTTATTATGAATATAAAGAGTTTTTTTAAATCTTGTTTTTATGTTCCATTCTATATGTGACCCTGGAGCATAAATAGTCTAAATAAATTTAGTATAAATGCACATACAACGCTATAGTTTAATCACAAATAAACTGTGATTATATTCCATTACTCCTTCAATACATGTCTAAATTAATCATATAATAAAGTTTGATATGAATATCCCACATTTCTGACACAATACCATACTGCAGTAAGTCCAAGGTAAATGATGACGATTTGTAGATTGAAAAGGCTTCTGACTGTATTGTTGTGCACAGTGTTTCTCCTGTTTGTCAGCGCTGTTTCATCCGGCTTTAAAATCACCGAGTCATTTGTGTTGTTTGCTGAATTCAAGCACTTCACACTGGATCTCACACACTGAAAAACTAAATGTGACCCTGGAGCACAAAACCAGTCTTAAGGCTTATTTATTAGCTTTCAGATGATGTATAAATCTCAATTTCAAAAAATTTACCCTTATGACTGGTTTCGTGGACCAGGGTCACAAATACTAAATTTTACTGAAATACTAAATACTAAACACTGAAATACTAATTTTTTTTAAAGGTAAGTGGTTGCAAACAATTTATTTTAGCTACATTTAAAAAAATATGTTGAAAGTTAGTCAACTAAATTTGTTTATTTAAATGTAGCTAAAATAAATCGATTGCAACCACTTAACGTAAAAAACATTAGTAAATTCAATGAATCCTTTTTTTTTCTCAGTGCAGCGCTGTTTAGTGCTCGCGTGACCGAGACTCGTCTGCTCTAGTGAGCTCGTTTAAACTTTGATCTCTTCATATCCTTTTATCGTTTTCAAATTATATCGCGATAATTATCGTTATTGATTTATTGCGCAGCCCTAACTGTGAGTGTCTGTGCACCTGCGGCTTTCTGTACCTGCTGCTCTGACAGGGGCTCTGGGAGCTGGTCTCTTCACACAGCGGGCCGCTGTGGCCGCTGGGACACTCACAGGTCACGCCTGCCTCTCCTCTCTGTCTGCAGGCCCCGAGAGCACAGACGCCGCAGGAGTGACAGCCCGGCAAGATGCCCTCCACCCCTGCCAGCCCACCGCCGAGGTCCTGGAGTTCCCCGTTGAGCCGTATGTCATGAATGCAGCCGTTAAAGGACTGTAATGGACGGTCTGGACCCGGTCGCAGGCCTGCTGTGTCAATCAGAGAGGGCACACCTAAAATACCAACAACAGGCAAATATTAGCACACATGCTTATGCAGTGTTGGCGAGTAACTAGTTGCATGTAACAGAATTACATAATTGAATTACAAAACAAATGTAACTGTAATCTGTTACAGTTACTGAGAAAAAATGTGCAATTAAATTACAGTTACTTATGAAAATGATTTCACGATAACAAAGGGGGTTACATCTGAATATTTTCACACACACACACACACATACAGATATGATTGATTTCTTTCCCAAATTGCATTGACTGCTCTAAAATATGAGACAGCAATGTTTAGGACACAAAATAGGACACGTGCTTATTCGATTTCCTATTTAGGTTTATGTATGCTTTATTTTTATTTTTAAATGTCTCAAAATGATTGCCGTTTGAAACCACTGGTTGGAAATTTAGAAAAGTAATCAAATGTAATTAGTTACATTCCTTTAATAAAGTAATTGAAATAGTTACACTACTTGTTTTAAATAGGGTAACTATTACATTTCCAAAGTAACCTTCCCAACACTGTGCCCATGTTGCAATTATTATGCATTCAAACACTTGGAAAGCATCTCAAAACAAGCCATATTTAATACTTTGAAACCTATGAAATGTGGTTTTGATGAACAACGAGGTGTTTTTGATGCTTACCGCCTATGTAGAGTTGTGTGTTGTGGTCCACAGCCGGAGGACGGGGGAGTTTGCCCAGGCTTTTCGGTGCCCCTTTATCCACCACCAAACTCAGCGTCTGATTCTGGATCAGGACCTCCACCGTGTGGAAAAGACCATCATTCACTGACTCCACACTGCAAGAAAGCAGAAGATAGCTAAAAATATACATTTGCTGTATTTTAAAATTATGATTATCTGAAAAGAGTGTGAAATAAACCATTTCATTATTTATTTATTTTTTTCCAAAGAAGCAGTGTCAGGCAAGAGCACACTTGAGATTAAATATGATATGAGACAAATAAAGAGAAGAAAAGAAAAAGAAGAAAATGTATTCCTGTGATCGAAGCTGAATTTTCAGCATCATTACTCCAGTCTTCAGTGTCACAAAAACCTTTAAGAAACATTTCTTAAAATAACTGACTAACACCAAACTTTGAATGGTAGTGTAAATATCATTCGTGAGCAAAATATCCTTATTTTTGTGTCATTTCCAATTAAGCTTTTATTTTGTCAAATTTTGCAGTGTGAAAATATTTACATTTGTGTATTTTGGATACACAAAATGCTAGCTACAAAACGACTGTTTTAGCCTTAGTGACTGTTTTAACTGATCGTATCATGTCACCACTGGGGTAAAATAACTTTTCAAAGCCCAAATGAAAAGCCATGAATGTGCAATACAGAATATCTCCCCGCCGTCTGAAAATGCCATGGTTTCCACATTAGGCTCCGTCAGGTGTATTTCCAGTGAATTTGGCACTGACGCGGAGAGAGCTTATGTTGTGGGAAAAGGAGAGCTTGTGTTGGCCATGAGTTCACTCTTTCTTTGAGTTAGCACGCTCAAATCACATCCTGCTGAGTTTGGCACTGTGACTGCGTGAACTCCTGAGAGCGATTCTCTTTCACACGGTCATTTTTCAACCATTGAAGAGTGCCGTTTGTTCCCGGGTTCCACGAAACATCTCACAGACTATGAGAGCGTGCTCTGACCGGCACAGCTGGATTTTCGCCTGTTTCCTCCTCAGTTTCTTACGATGCGGTGCATGTAGCGCCCTGTTTGGCCCAGATTCTGCTGACTTCTAGGACTGTATTTTGTTTAAAGGTGAGAACTAGGGTTATGAACTTATCAGTAGCCCCTGAACTATGAGAAAGCAGTCTGCTCAGGCTACAGAAAGCCCAGTTTTGTATTGTAGTAGTTATTGCTGGATAGAGCACAAGCAGTTACAGACAGCTAGAGACAGTGGTTTGGCAAAGAAGCCCAGAGACCAACAGAGAGAGTGGAGAAGGGGGTGCGAGAAATAATATTGTGGCGAGTACAGTATATCTTAATCCCCACCTCAACTTAAAACAAGGTTTTCCTCTTTTTCTGTCTTTGGCAAATTTTCAAAAATCATGTTTTTTCATTGTGCATTCCAATTCATCTCAATAAAACTGCAGTTGGGTTATTTTGATAAGGTAAAAAAAATAACTAAAAAAATACTAGCTAACTAACACAATAAAATCATGATAACATAATATTAATAAACAATTTTTTTAAAAACGGAGTTATCTGCTTTTGCAAATAAACCCTTCATACATATATATATATATATATTTATTTTTTTTCACATGCACTAAAAAAACAACAACAACAACAACAGCAGCAGAGCATTGCCAGCACAAACACATTAAGCAAACAAACAGGCTAGCATTATAGCATTAAAATGAGCTCATTTTTGCGGGCAGGCAGCTAGTATTTGCGCTGGCTCGCAATGCTATTTTCCATTGCTGAAATGCTGAGGCCATAGGTGCGGATAGAGATCAGTGTCCCCAGATATAGGGGGGTAAGGTTCACGGAGGTCTTGGCTGAACAAAGACTCAACACAGGCGCACGTGTGGTTTGCATTACAGGCCCATAATTCAATTCCTGTTTCAAAATAGGCTTTTGCAACAAACACTACAGTCCGTGGGCTGAGAGCCCCCAAACATCTCAAGCCTGTCCATTTGATACATCAGTACCACCATAGATGAACGGCTTTATTATAATATAAGGACATTTTCATTTACTGTCTCTGGTTTTGAAAGCCGTCTTTCATTAAGAGAGCCTACACACCAGCTGGGAAGGAAATGGGAAGAGTATTTTGTGGAAAAGGTTGTGAGAGTGGGAATGTAATAGAACAAAGAGGAAGATTCTATTATAAGAATGAAAACATTCTTAATCAGAATATAAATCTCACCATGGGGGACAGAAGTCATCATTTGGACAAAATGTATGCAGTGAAGCTCTAGCACCACTAGGGGGCACCAGAGATCAAGATGTAGCCTAGCGCTTGCAACTATCAGCCTTTTGTTCATATTCTGACAGACAGAAAATATCCTGAGGCCGTAATATTTTTAGAACGGGGGTTGAGAAGGTGGAGTGTCTTTGATGTGCGGCTAGCCTGCATATTAGCTTCAAGCAGCCCATTATGGAGCTCAATAAAAACAAACAGAAACCCGTGGAAGATTTCAGCAACCTCATGTCACCCTTCTCACACGAGGGGAAGTCAATTTCCTGTCAGCTGAAAATAAAATACTCTGTTTTTCCTCGAGCGAAACCGCAGTATAAATGACACATACACAAAGTTAGGAACTATTACCGGCTCCTTCATCTTGGAGCGTTATCTAGATCAGAAAAGCTGTAGACATATTTACATTTTCCAGACTCAATTACGCGGCACTATCATTTGCTTACACGAGCTAAGAGTAACGGACTGCAGCTGTGAAGTCAATTGTGCCCTTCTGGAACGTGAATTGCTAAACAAGGTTATGTAGCATTTGATATATATAATGGGGTGTAACCAAGTAACGTTAGCTTTACTCTACAGATGGACTGAAGTAGCAAGGAACAAGGTATCATCCTTGGGATGAGAATATGTAGCTTTCCTGAAGCTCAAACAGTAGAGCATAGCACTAGCAATGTTAAGGTCTTGGTTTGATTCTTGAGGAAAACTAGAACTGATAAACTGTGTACATGAATCCAATACAACCCTCTACATTGCGAGTACATCACTGGCATATGCGACTAAATCTTCACTCTGGGTGACTAAATGATGTCTAACATTAGCCAATGGCTAATCAATTCTTAGATTTTACTCGCCTGTGTGTGAGTTGGAGGCTAAGTATACTCTGAGCGGGGCTAAACTCTAGTGTGAAGGCGCACTACTCACACAAGAGTGAGAGAGTTTTAGGGTGTATTCACACCTGTCTTGTTTGGTTCGATTGAATCGATTTCATGGTTCGTTTCCCCCCTTAATAAAAAAATACTATAGTAATTTATAGTAAATACTATAGTGTTTTTGAACCATACTATTTGTAAAGTACTTGAATTAATTTGTTGTGGTAATTCTATAGTTGCTGTGGTAATATAACAACTATAGTAATATAAACAAATTACTTTACCCAATAGCCTACGTGTACTAAGTTTTCTACAACTAGGGTACATTATACTACAATGTTTACTGTAGTAAAAACTAAATTATACTACAGTGTTTATTACAGTTTATAAGTTCACTATAGTTAATACTACAGTATGCTGTAGCATTCATTAA